CCATCTCTCTCCTGGGTGTTGGAGAGAGAACTCGGGTCATCAGGCCCGGTAGAAAATGCTTTAAGGGGCTGAACCACCTCAGTGGCCTAGACTATCTTCTTCTGAAGATGCATTGCTTGTGAGAAAATTCTGAGCTGCCCGTCTCCCACTCTTGAGTGTGAATTATCCTAACACAGACTCTTTTTAAGTGCATACAAACATATATCTAAATATGTGTTTATAAAGTGCTTGGCTTTGCTGGACAGTTTGCAGCAAGAATCCACATTATCACGTACTTTATTTTAGTGAGGATAATACACTGTGCTCCCGTGTGGTGAACATTTGGGTTTTCAGTGTTTAGTTCTCAGCCTGTCATCAGAAAGCGTGAAGAAGAACCCTGCCCATGTGGCTTTCTGCAGGTGTGGATTACATATGCAGGGTGGCTTCCCAGACATGGGGTTGATTGCTTGGTACCAGCTTTAGCAATTCTGAAGATGCTGCCAACGTCTCCTCCACAAAGTAAGCACCAAACTGCAGCTGTATCAGCTTTGGAAGAGAAATTACCATTTTGCCACATCAATGGTCTCTGCTGCCAGGTCTCTGGCTTTGCACCAATCTGATACACGAACGACAATGACTTGGTATGGCCTTCCACTGTGTTATGAAAGGAACTTAATTAGTGCTTTAAATACTATTTCTGACTTTTTTGGTTGTGGTGGTGGTTTTTTTGTTTGTTTGTTTCTGGTTTTGGTTTTGTTTTGAGACAGGGTTTCTCTGTGTAGCCCTGGCTGTCCTGGAACTTGCTCTGTAGACCAGGTTGGCTTGGACGCAGAGATACACCTGCCTCTGTCTCCTGAGTGCAGGGATTAAAGGCGTGCACCACCACCACTCAGCTGGTTTTTTCTTGATGACTGTCTGTTGTGTTAGCTTCTGAGGTGGCATGAGCGTGAGGCATATTCACCTCAGATGGTCCACGAAAGACAGCTCGAAGAGATGACTCATCCGAGTCTGGCTTGATGAGCCAGTGAGTTTATCGGGCTTATTTACAGGCACATAGATGAGAAATTAGAGCTCACAGGAGCACGGGTGAGAGATATTTACAGGATCATGAGTGACCCCATGGGTTATACAAAACGGCTGTGTCACCAAAAAGTCTTACCCTGGCATGGATGACAATTTCTCTGTGCTTGCATAGATGGCATCTCTCCTCTGTTAACCTTCCACCCACTATGTCCCAGCATCTCCAGAGACTACAGTCACAGACCAATGGGAAGAGGGCAGGAGGGAATGTCTGGAATCTCAGATGAAAATCTAATGACCCCACCCCCCAGCTCTGTCTCTCTCCTCGTCCCCTCTCCAGACAGGCTCTTATGTACCCTGCTTGGAACTCACTGTGCACATCATGTAGCCAAAGATGACCTTGAACTTCTGATCCTTACCTACTAGTCTTTTACACCTTGGTGTGAATTATCCCCCCTACTCCACTGTACAGTTGTTGGGCTCATAGATGTGCACTAATGTGTCCAAATTATGCCATGCCAGGGATCTAACCCAAAGCATCATGTATGCTGTCTTACTCAAGGTCTTTGCTTATTTCAAAATTAGAAGTATTGGCTTTTCTCCTTTAATGCTAGGAGCTGTTTATATCTCAGGGATTAGCTTTTCATCTTGGATACAGTTGCATCCACTGTAGCATTTCTGGTTCTTTTTTTTATTTTTTTTGAAACAGGGTTTCTCTGTGTAGCTCTGGCTGTCCTGGAACTCACTCTACAGACCAGTTGGCCTCAAACTCACAGAGATCCTCCTGCCTCTGCCTCCTAAGTGCTGGGATGAAAGGCATGTGCTACCACCTACAGACTTCTTTTTCTTCAAAAAAAGAAAAATGTATTAGGTATATTTCAAGGGCAGAAAGCTGGGCAGGAACTTACTGCAACTCCTGTCCCCATACCCCTGCACACACAACTATTAAAAAACCATACTTCTTTGTTTTTCATTGGCAGGGGTGTGTGCTTGCCACAGTGGGCATGTAGAGATCAGAGGACAACTTGCAGAAGTCCATTCTCTCCTTCCACCCTGTAGGTTCCGGGGATCAAACAGAAGTTGCCAGGCTTGGCAGCAAGCGCCTTTAATGGCTGAGCCATCTCGTCAGTCCATCCTGCACAAATTGTATTTTTTAGGCCGTCAAATGACTCTTCATTGATGACTTTAAAATGTTTAATCTTAGATACAAAAGCCTTCCTCACTTTCAGACGACAGGATTGTGCCTTGGGTTTTCTTCTGTTATTTTACATTCAGAATTTCATCTGTTTGGAGTTCATCCCGGAGAGTGGCAGGAGGAAGAGGCTCCTGTGTTTCTTTCCAGATGGTTCTCCTTTCGTTTCTAAATGGAGTAGTTGTTTAATAAGTTACTTTTTTTTTTTTCCAGAGCTGAGGACCAAACCCAGGGCTTTGCCCTTGCTAGGCAAGTGCTCTACCACTGAGCTAAAGCCCCAACCCCGATAAGTTTCTTTTCATAAGCACCTTTCCTCGTAGAAATTTGAGTCTGTTTGAAAATTGCTGCCCTCTGCCCAGAGTCTGTCTCTTCACTCTCATTCTTGATCTTTGTTCTTGTGACCGCTGTTACTGTATTGTATATGTATTGTCTGCGTTTGTGTCTGTGCACCATGTCTGTGCCTGTGCCTGAGGAGGCCAGAAGAGGGCGTCAGATCCCCTAGAACTGCAGTTACACACGGTTGTGAACGACCATGTGGGTGCTGGGAATTGAACCCAGGTGGAAGAGCAGCCAGCGCTTTTAACCTGAGCCATCTCTCCAGCCCTTTTTCTTTCTTTCTTTTTTTTTACATAGACCAGAGTGACTTCAAACTCACAGCAATCACATGCCTCAACCTCCTGAGTGCTGGGATTAAAGGCATGTACCACACCCAACATGTTTCTACTTTTTCTCTGCTAAGGTTTCTAATATTTAAGACATATATTTTCCTGAGTTCTTTCAGGCTCGTCTGGCCTATTTATTTTTCACCTAAGGGTTGAATTCTAGTATTTAATTACACATGTGGTGGTATTTTAATTGGACTTGCTATAATAAAAATTCAAGTATAACATACATACATGAAAAGAGAGTAATTTTCAATGAGTTATCACGCAGTGAACACACCCTGGTAACTATCAACCACATCTAGAGCTAGAATACGACCTGTGGGAAGAAGTCCCCTTTGGCCCAGGTCACTGATGGGGTTTGACTATGAAATGTCCCCCACAGTCTGTGCTTGATCTCCAGCAGCTCTTTGGGGTGGTTCTAGAAACCTTAGGAGGTGGGGTGTAGCTACAGGAAGTAAGTCCCAGGGTTCCTGGCTTTGGAGATTATGCCTGGCTACAGTTCCCTCATCACTCTTGACTTCTTGTCCATCATGAGATGAACAGCCTCCACACGCTCCCATCACCATGATGCTTGGCCTCATCAGGGGCCCCAGGTCAGTGAGTACTCTGAAACCCTGAGGCTGACCCACGAGGCTTGCCTTTGGGGTGTCTCCCTCTGGTATTTCTCACAGCAGTGCAGGAGACACAGAGACATGACCCCACTGTCCTGACCGGCAGTCATCAATCTCATTTTTTTTTCAATGCCATAGTTGGTTTTGCTCTACTTTTGAAAAGTACATTGGGGCTGGAGAAATAGCTCTGTTGGTTAAGTGCTTGGCTTACAGGCACGTGGGTGTGAGTTTGAGCCCCAGAACCCATTTTGGTTGTTGTTTTTAAAAGCCGGGCGTGGTGTTGCACACTTGTAACCCCAGTGCTGAGGAATCCGGCTAGCCAGCCTAGTCTATTTGCTAAATTACAGGCCAGTGAGAGAACTTGCCTCAAAAAAAAAAAAAATAGATGAGTGGCACCGGAGGAAGGACTCCTAAGATGGTTTCTCTGGCCTTTATATAGCATGTATACACTATATATATTATATAATATTTATAATATAATAAATACATATATTTAAAGTTTTATTTATTATTATTGCATATGGTGTGTGTGTATATGTGTGTGTGTGTGTGTGTGTGTGTGTGTGTGTGTGTGTGTGTATGAATATGGGTGTACATAGGCCATGGTTTGCATGCAGGAGGTCAGCCGACAACTTCTGGGAGTCAGGTCTCTGCTTCCGCCGCAGGTTCTGGGACTGAGCTCTGGCTGTCAAGCTAATCCAGACGGTCCTTCACTTATGTACAGATATGGTCATCTGGCTTCTTTTCCCATGCATTTGTGATTAGCTTGGGTGTTCTTGCTTTATAGTCCTATTATTTATAATGGGAATAATTTTATTTCCTATTTAATTCTTACGTTTTTATTTTACCTGTGTAACTGCGTTGGCCTGAGTGTGCTAGAGAGCACACACTTGTATTGTTCCTGTCTTTAGTGAAAATTCTTCTAATGATTCTAAATTAAGCCAGATTCTAGCCTTTGTCTGAGATGGATACATTTCATCTTGTTGAGGGCTCACTGGTTAAGAGTGCATACCTCTCTTGCAGAGATTTGGATTTGGTTCCTAGCATCCACACTGGGCAATTCCTAAGTGCCTGTAACTCTAGCTCCAGGGAATCTGATGTCCTCTGGCCTCCTTAGGTACTGAACTCACCTATACAAACCCACACTCACACACATACACATAATTTAAAATAATAAAAATAAAAAATCTAAGGAGGGGACTGGACCTGCCTCAGCTGAATCCCCAGGGAAGTCCTTGCCTTGGAGGAGGTGGGAATGGGGGGTGAATTGGGGGAAGGGGGCGGGAGGAGGGAGGACAGGGGAATCCGTGGCTGATATGTAAAATTAAATTAATTATAAAATTAAAAAAAACAATTACCCATCAATCCCCATTTTAATAAGCGCTTCTCTCAGTTAAGGATGTTGGATTTTGTAACATGCTTTCTCATCACCTACAAATACACTAAGAAAGGCCTGTTACTGTGTTACATTGCGAGGTCTCTTACTCTCAACCATCCTTGCACACCTGGAATAAATTCCTTTCTATCCTTCAGTGTCCTGCACCACCCAGCTGGAGAGCCGGAGAGTCTCTTTTGACGAGTCAGTAACCACTGTGACTGCTGTTGTAGACACATGCAGAGTTGGTAACTACTTAAATGGACGGGGTGGGTAAGGGGTGGGTAGGGGGTGGGTAGGGGTGGGGGAGCAGGAACTGTGCACCACGTTGGGAGCATGTGCCTGACTCTCAGCTCAGTCATTTCTAGCTCGGCCTCTTGTTTTTGTTAATTGTCTCCACGAAGCAAACCACAACATATTAAAAACCCAGAAAGTAGAGCCCAAGAGCCTTCATCCTGTACCCTGTTCTGTTTATGCTTTGGAGGATGTCCCAACAGGCTTGGAGTCTCTGGTCTATTCTCAACTTGGGAATCATTGCTATAATTGTCTCAAGAAGAATGAAATGCGGAAAAAAACGGGTAAAGGATCTGGATTATAAACAAAGGAAATCCTTTGGGGTCTCAGCCGCATCTCAGGATGTGGCTTTTACTCAGTAGGACACTCGAAAGGTTAAGATAACAGTGAGGGGCTGGAGAGATGGCCCAGAGGTTAAGAATGCAAACCTCTGCCGAGGACCCAAGTTAGGTTCCCAGCACTAGTAATGGGAAGTTCACAACCACCTGTAACTCCAGCTCCAGGGGATCCCTCTTCTAGACTCTTGAGGCACCTATGCTCACACATACACATGCATAAACACACACACATAATCTTTAAAAATTTAAATCTTCAGAAAAGACAGTGTTTTGCCATGGTGTGAGCCTGTAATCCCATTACATGTCAGAAGCAGTGGGCTGAGCGTTGGAAGGCAGTTTGGCTACATGGCAAGACCCTGTCCCAAGAACAAAGAGGCCAGTGTTTTCTGGGCTGGCTGGGCTGAAATCACTGCTCTGCCCCTGATTGGGACACATTAGTTTCCCCTCCCTCCATTTCCTCATCAGAATGAGAAGGTTGTGAGTTCCTCCCCCGGGCTTTGTAGTGGAATGCAGTGAGTTAGAGTTCATGCATGGAAAATTCCCCTAGTACATGGAGGGCTGCCGGCAGATGTGAGGAGACTGTAGGGATAGCATACTCAGTAGGGTCTGGGTCAGATCTGCCTATGCCTTCACCGTCATCTGACTTTGGCTGGCCCTGACCCTCATGCACACATGGGCAGGGTGTGCTGAGACAGGTGAGGAGTCATCTCTCAGGGTCAGGGGCTTTCACCATGAAACCAAAGAAAAGTACGTAAGAAGTTTCCTTTCCGGCCTAGAGAGATGACTCCATGGTTAAGAGCACTTTCAGCTCTCCCAGAGGTCCAGAGTTCGGTTCCTAGCGCTCACGTTTGGTGACTCACAACCGCTTGTAACTCCAACTCCAGGGATCTGACTCCCTCTGCTGGTCTCTGCAGGCACCCACACCCATACATTCACACAAATAAAAAATAAAAATAAATCATAAGGGCTAGAGAGATGACTCAGCATTAAAGGGTGCTTGTTGCTCTTCCAGAGGACCTGAGTTCAGTCCCCAGCACTCACATGGTGGCTCACAACTGTCTGTAACTCCGGTTCCAGGGGATCTGGTGGTCTTTTTTAGTCTCCTTAGGCACCAGGAATGCAGGTGTGCATGCATGCAGAATACTCACACACATACAATAAAAATAGATAAATCTGTAAAACATACATAAAAATAAAGTTCACTGTTTCCTTTTGTGACTGCCTGGGCTGCAGAAAGTAAAGGAATGGGACTGAAGATCATTCTAGAAAATGAATCTATGAGCACATAGAAACCTCTCACCTCCTAAGCAGGCCTCCCTTTGGTCCTCAGTTCTGGGGACAGCAGCCATGTAAGGGATTCAGGTTGCTTTTGAACACGGCATCCATGAAGTGAGTCTCTTAGGTAGTGCTGCTAACCCATGGACCACGTGACATTTGCATCTGAGGGGGTGTTGTGGGCATACTGACTAAGGACATATTTTAAAAATATTTTTTCAATTTACCTGTTTTATTATTTTATACATATGGCTGCCATGCCTGTATGTATGTAAGTGCACCATGTGCCTGCCTGATGTCCATGAAGGTCAGAAGAGGCATCAGGGTTTCAAGGCAGGATGTGGGTGCTGGGAATCCAACCTGGGTCCTTGAAAGAGCAACAAACGATCTTAACTGCTGAGTCAACGCTCCAGCCTAGGGGATATTTTCACATGGTCAGTGAACATAAAGGGAGAGGTACTGGACCAGGTCAGGCTGGGCAGCACCCAGGTAGGGCCAACTTCAGTTTTCTGAACAACACAGGACTATGCTCCAAAAGCTGTTCTGCCAGCCAGGGGCAAGCGCCCAGCCAGGGGGACGCTTTCAGCAGCTTGCAGGTTCCAATGAGCTCTTGTTTATTTTTAAAACCAGAAGTATAGCTTACTGAAAATAAAGCCCGTAGAACCTACGAATTCAATTTGTTAGCGTGGTACTGAAACTTAGGACTGCAACCTCGACAGCTTATTATAGCAACCCAGCTGTGCTCGCTCACAGGCCTGGAGGCAAGAGATGCACAGTCAAAGTGTTGATGGAGCCCTGTTCCTTCTGCAGACTGAAGCGGGGGTGGGGTGGGGGGTAGAGGGGTGCTGCTCCCTCCCCCAGCTTCCCGTGGTCACGACAGCTCCTGCTACTCTTCCCTTGCACGTCTGTCTCTGCGGTCTGCACCTCATCGGCATGTGGTCCTCTCTGTGTCCCTAGTCCCTCTCCTTATGAGAGCTGGAGGTGGAGTTCAGGTGGTAGAGTGCCTGCGTACCAAGCGTGAAGCCCTGGGGTCCATTCCCTCGCACTGCATAAAACTTGTCACCCAATGAAACATTCACCGTGGATGTGAGAACATAGTTATTGGATTAAGGTCTAGCCCAGTGCAGTTTGACCTCACTCTTAATTCAGAAAATCACATCTAAAAAGGTCCTGTAAAGGTGTGTGCTGAGAGTCCTAGAGACTGTAAGTTTGGAGGAAGGGGTCACTGCCTATCCAGTAATGGCAACATGCAAATTATGTAACCACTACTCCAGGCAAGAGATGGAGTGTTCCTAATTCTCCACAACATTCTCTCAGGCCCCTTCTAGTCAGCTCCAATCAGCACTGCCATCCTGGGTAACTACAGTGGGTATCTATGACTATAGATAAGCTTTTTTTAAAAACCTATTCTTACATTCTAATAAATGCAATTACAAAGCATGTAGTTGTTTACAACTGGCTTCTTTTCCTCAAAATAATTTTTTTTTTTTGGTTTTTCAAGACAGGGTTTCTCTGGGTAGCTTTGCGCCTTTCCTGGGACTCACTTGGTAGTCCAGGCTGGCCTCGAACTCACAGAGATCCACCTGGCTCTGCCTCCGGAGTGCTGGGATTAAAGGCGTGCGCCACCACCGCCCAGCTCAAAATAATGTTTTTTAGTTTATCCATGTTGTTGCTTGAATTAGAAGTTTGTTCCTTTTGATGGCTGTGTAGTATTCCATGGTATCATTACACCACCATCTGCATGTCCAGTCTTCTAGGGGTAGATAGTTGGCTTATTTTTTATTTGGGGAACTGTATTATAATAGTCACGTGGCTTCTTGCTGTGACAGAACACCTGACAAAAGCTACTTCAGGAAGGAAACCTTTATTGTGACTCATAGCTTGAGGACACAGTCCGCCATGACAGGGCAGTCTCGGCAGCCCGAGCGTGAGGTGACTGGTCCCATCACATCCAGTCAGGACACAGAGAGAGGTGAACACTGCTGCTCAAATCATTTTCTCCTTTTATTTAGTAGGGGATAGTGCCAGCCACACGTAGGGTGGGTCTTCTCACCCAGCTAGCATAGTCTAGAAAAGCCCTTACCATGGATATGCCCAGAGATTCGTTTCCATGGTGATTCCAAATCACATGAAGCTGACAGGATTAACTGGCATGGGCATGTCACCTATAAAACAAACATAGCATCAAATGCATATTTTTGTTCACCCTTTTCAACTTTACTTTTAGTGTTGTATGTGTGTATGTGTTCAGGGGTACATGTGCATGTGTAGGTGAGGGTGCATCTGCACATGTGTGCATGAGCCTATAGAGGCCACAGGTCAAAGCCAGGTATCTTTCCTCTTGCTCTTCCACTGTGTGTGCATGTGTGCATGCATGTGTGTACTTGTATGTGTGTGCACATGTGAGTGTGTGTGTGTGTGTGTGTGCATGGATGTATGCACACATGCATGTTCATGTGGAGGCCAGGAGATGTACAGTGTGCATGCCACCACACCAGTTTTTTACGTGAGCGCTGGGGTCCAGACTCGGGTCATCATGCTGTCATAGCAGGTACTCTATTGCCTGAGTTATCTCTCTAGTCCCTTGGGGTTTTTTTGAGGGGGGTGTTTTTTGTTTTGTTTTTTGTTGTGGTGGTGGGTTCTTTTTCTTTTGTTTGTTTGTTTTGAAGAAAAGCTTTCACTGTGTAGCTCTGGCTGCCTAGAATTCGCTCTGTAGACCAGGTTGGCTTTGAACTCCCAGAGATCCACCTGACTCTGCTTCCTGAGTGCTGGGATTAAAGGTGTGTGCTTCCAACCAGGCAGAGCTCGGTGGAGATGGTGGTTCTGAGAGCTGGTGTCCTTGCCATCCTGAGGAAACTTTCCTGCGTCCCTGTCCCCACTTCCCTACGGTCCCTTGACATACAATTTCCCATGATGATGTCTTCTACTTATTCAATCATCCTGCTTCCCACTGGCCTGCATGCACCTTCCTGGAATGGCAGCTTACTGATCCCAGGCAAACAGTAGGTGCTTCATAAGTGTTGACTGCAAGGGCAATGTCCAGTGCAGACTTCTCCAGACCTCCCCTGGGATCTGGGTCCCCCTAAGACAGACCTTTGGTAAATTTCATAGTTCTCATGCCTGGTGTCGCCTTGATGCTCAATGTCAGGTAATTACTTAGACCATTTTATCTAAACATGGGTCATGTGCCATGGCCAGTTTGGATAGTCTTCCATGGTTCCTGGAACTTGTAGTAAAATACATTGAATTTATCTGGGCAGGATGGTGCATACATATAATCCCAATATTTGGAGGCTGAGTCAGGAGGATCACAAGTTCTAGGCCAGTCTGGAATACATAGT